TAAAGAATAAATCAGCTGCCTCCAGCAATAAAATTGTCTCATTGAAATCAACAGGGAGAAAAGCGAGCTGGGTGTTTCGGCAGAAAACAATTCACATAAATCGCATCAGTACCACAGCCATGTTGGTAGACAAAACAGTGGAGATGGAAATGTAAACATCATTGCTGTCTCGAAATCTGAGAGACTTCATATTTTATTCCAAAAGTATTAAATAAAGAAGTAAAGGTGTTTGGTAATAATACCTTTAGTCTGCTCAGTTCAACTATTCAATTAAAAGTCTAAAGATATATTTTTTCAGACACATTTTATTATTAGAACATTTTCATTAGGAAAAACAAACAGCCGTAGTTATCTCTTTCTTTTGTATAACTCTTACTCTGCTGCCATTTCTGCTGTTTAACGGTGTTGTTTATGGCTCCTAAGAGGGACCTGCCGCAGCTTTAGTACACAACAGTTACCACCAGTGTTCTTTACCTAGATACTAATATTCCAGAAGAAACTAGACTACCTCATATTTCAGTATGTAAACGAAAATGTTATTCGACTAATTTTTGCCTATTGTTGTTTTATTAATCAGGTTTTATTAAAGTTTTTTTGTCATTTTAAAACAAGACGTATTCATCTGAATGACTCGATGAGTCCGTCGCTTTGTCAAAATGTTTTGCATCGAATCTCAATGAGTCAAAGTTGTACTGAATTGCATTGTGTCATGATTGAGATCATTGTGTTGCTCAGATCATCGGTAGAGCATTGAGAGGAACACTGTCTGGGCGACAGAGCAACCTGTAAATACAGAAGCATGTTTAGTAAACGAGGAGGAATACCAGGACCGTTTCTGTGGCAACAGACAGGTGTGACAGCACACAGATGGAAGGTGTCCAGCCTAAAGTCGTTAGCCAATGCCCATAAAACACGACGACATGATGATTCAATCATCACTCACAAAGAGCCGCACCATTAACAATTAAATAAAACAACAAAATGAAAGCAGCCATGAACTTGACTGTTCAGACCTGCAGCCTTCTCCCAGACCTGGTAAAACGTGCACCCGCACACACGAGCGCTCATTACTGCATGCTTCCAACTCCACAGATCGATACAAATAGGCCACGTTTTCTGCCTGGATAATGACATATTTAATGACCTCCCTCTCCTTTGCTCTCTTTGCCTCTCTCTTCATCAAACACATTGATTCAAGAGTCAGGCCTGTTCTCCCGTGTGCACAGACTAACACAATACACCAAACCGCAAAAAGTAATGATTTTATCTACATGACGCTTATCTTTCCACTGTCCCCACTGTCTCAGTTCCATCAAAGACATCACAGACATTTGCTCGTCCCTACGAGCTCACACGAGCCATTGCTGCTGATGTTTGTACACACACACACACACACGCACGCACGCACACACACACACACACACTGTATCCCCTTCCTCTAAGAAAACCTAAACACATGTATGCATATCAGATGCACTGCATGTAAATGCACTCTAGAACTGCATCACTATGTCCATACCAAGACCACATTTCATTAGAACCTCTTCAATTATAGAATACATTTTCCCTCACAAAGTTCAGGCTTAGGGCCTCCGGAGGGTGCTGGTGGGCATGGTTGATTGACCCTGCCTCACAAATCTGCACAGCTCTGTGCCAGAAAATCAACCAATTAAAAGATGCAAGCACCTCAGCGGCGAGACGGAGGAAGGGAGAGGATGTTCGCAGCAGCTGCTATGCTGAATTTGGAAGCAGCTGTAAGGCCTAACCTGAATATGCAGAACAGCCAAGTTCTGTCTCCATCGACTTTTAACTCAAGGAGCTTTTGGCTCAGTGTTGTACGGTCTTCGTGTGTTTCAGAGGCTCGGCTTATGGACACATAGTTAACAGTGCTAACCTGAACGTGTTGATAGATGACTTTATTTTAACCTGAACAACCAGAAATGCATGAACCAATCAAGGACTTGCTGCCCCTAATCAACTCCTGAAAAAGTCTTAAATCGCTTCCACCACATGCAACAAATTTTAGATTCTGGTGGAGCATTGAAAGAGTTTTTTTATTTTTATTTTTTATTTGAACAACATTGTAAGGCTGCTAAAATAATAAAACAAAGCTTTTCATAAGGACATTGTTGTTTTACTGACAGTGTCTCCGTAGTAACAGTTTTGTTTGGTTTTTTCAGTAGGGCAGATGCAAGTACGTAGATAAACAGTAAAACCGCATGTTTGTAGCTAAATGCTTTTAGCTGTAGCTAATTTGTCTCTAGAAGGTTTTTAACAATCATAAATGAAGTGGAGTAAAACTTCCTCTGATCACAATAAGAGTGCGTTTCAAATACACGCTCAGCATCAAGCACTTCTAGCATTACTTTGCTTATTCCAACGATGCAACAAACTTAATGCATCACTTTGCTGTCCAACAGCATGAAATCCTCCATCCATCCATTTTCTATGCCTGCTTGTTCATGCAGGGTCGTGGGGGCTGGTTTCTATCGACAGCAGTCTCCGGGCATCTAGGTGGGGTACACCCTGGAAAGGTTTCCAGTTCTTTTGCATATTTGTTCATTTATTATAAAGCAAGTGATGAAATCCACGATAAAGTATCCTAAAGTGAAGGATTAAAGAGGTGACTGAGTACAGTGATTAAAGTATTATAACTAAAGGAAAAAATAAACTAGTTATGTATATGACTACATTCATTCTGACGGTTAGAACCCCCACAGTTTGTCTCCGCACAATTTTCAAGACGAATTTAAAAAATATTGTTAAAGTTAACGCAAAAAACGATCACGACAAAAATGTTCCGATCCCTACGACAATAATACAAAACAGGAGAAACTTTAAAGTTTCCTGTGACTTCCTATACTTCACCTGACAAGGTGAAGGTCAGTAGCAGCTGGTACAGACACTACAACATCCCAAAGGTTAGCCCTGAACTAAGTCACAAGCTGATAAAGGTAACAAGAGAAGTAGGGCTGCAGCTATTACATATTTTAGTATTTGAATATTCTATCAAATCCTGTCGATGAATGGGATATTCTTTTTGACAACGTTTCAAGGGAAGCAAGACTGTGGTCTGCTGCACAAAATATGACAATAAAACAAAAACATGATAAAAAGCTCAATAATATGCATTAAATTAGTGTTGTCTCGTTCTTTTCCATCTGATATTTATAGTTAATGAATATTTGATGGAACAAATTTCACCTATATTTCATTAACATCTAAGGTTTGTATTAACAACATTAACATATCTAAATGTATCCACATATGATCAGTAGGATTTAATTATTTCATTAACATGTTCACTAGTAAGCTGCTGGAAATGCTAATAACGTGTCATTTCTATTGATTGCAATGAAATTGTGGCATATCTATTTTATCGTGTATGGGTTGGCAATAATCCAGTCTGAATTCAGGGGCGGATCTACAAGGGTGGCATAGGGTGGCAGTTGCCACCCTAAAAGAAAGCCTTGCTACCCCTGCTGTCACCCCAGCTGGCAGCTATAAATTCAAGAAAAATCAAAGTTTTTCAACTCTCAGGCTCATAAAGACCTATTTGCAGTCTGCTTTGGCAGAGAAAAGACTATGAAGCTAGGCTGTACTCAGCATTGAATCAAAACGGGCAGAATCTTTGGATCTTGATGAATGTGTAAATAGTTTTGCTGAGCAACATGGAAACTGCCGCATTCAGCTGTTTTAGGAAGGATATAATTTTATTATGTGTTTTATTTTCGTGATGGACCTTTAAGCTTATTAAATGAGGACCCAGAACAAATTAAAATGTAAATACTGGGAAAAGGAAAAGGAAAACGTGTTTCTGAGTGAACAATAGAACCAAAGTACAATATCTCAGTGCAGTGAAATATTATATTTGAGTGTGTGTGTGTGTGTGTGTGTGTGTGTGTGTGTGTGTGTGTGTGTGTGTGTGTGTGTGTGTGTGCGTGCGTGCGTGTGTGTGTATTGCCACCCTAGAAAAATGTTTGCCCCTCTTCTGCCACCCCATCAATAATTTTGTAGATCCGCCCCTGTCTGAATTGTATTCATAGAACTGTTTGTAAATTACATGCTACAACGGCTTGCCGTAGCCTTGCTGCAGTGTGTGGAGCAGACTTCAGGTAGCTTCTACGGTTCTGCTCCATATTGCTGCAGCTGCACACATCTACAAATGAACGGGATGTTGGTGTTCAGGTATTCACAACTATCGTGTTTTTTTCTGAACCCCACTTCAATGTGAGCGTGCTAGCATTAGCGTTAGCCAATCTTGCTCTGTCATAGTTTAACTGCTGAGCCCAGACTTTGGATGGTTTCTGCCTTTTATGATGGTTTGTGTCTTTGCTGGTTTCTGTTTTCCTCCACAGCACCTAGATTCCCACATTGTGTGCCAGTAATATGTGTTCAGACTGTGGTGCACACGTTCAACAAAGCATTGAATCAGTAAAAAATGATTAGAATAATTTAATAAATTGAAACCATTTGATGATTCTTTTCGGTCCTGAAGAGAAAACATAGTTTTTACTGGGAAACTTGAGTTAACATTAACCATTAGTAGGCTGGCCAGCTGGGAACTCTGCTATTCAGATAACCCCACCCCCTGAGAATTCTAACCAAGCCAATCAGCGCTGAGCAGCGTGCGTCACACACCAAAATGCTCGGTTTCTCAGAAACAACAAAGATGTCGTCTGAATTAGAGTTGGCTGCGGCTCTTTCCTCTGTTCTAAACGACTTGGAAATGTCTTTAAAACCACAAGAAGAAGAAGCGTATAAGAAGTGTTGGTGTTTGCGCCGTCGCCAGACTCCATTTTTGACTACAGCTAAAAAACTACAGCGTTGAGCGGTACTGTCGGCATTTCCGCCTTTTTTCTGATTGGTTATTTTTGAGCGGGTAGTCCCGCCCCTCATGTGCCTCTCTGCCTGTGAGTGACCAGACTAGTTCTCTGTGTAGAACAGAGGACAAGTCTGGCACTAAACCATTGGGTCCACAACTTACATATTTTACTTACATGTGTTGAGAAAACTCAGGCGCTTCATCGTTCACATTGGCCATTCTGATCCGTACAGTTGTTGTGCCGGTGCGAGGGACACCACCCCTGTCGACAGCCATGACAACAAACTCGTACAGGTGATTGGGCCGTTCATAATCCAACAGGCCCGCTGGGAAGATGGTTCCGTGAGGAGAAATGGTGAAATCTGGACTGATGGTGTAGTAGGTCAAATCTGCATTGGCCCCAGAGTCACAGTCGTTGGCTGACACTAACAATAACAGAAGGGGAAGAAAACGTCACATTGAAAACCACTCCAAGATCCAAACGTGACAAATCAAATAGATATAGGTTAGGGACACAAAGACATTAACTGTAAAAATGTTTTAAAATATTAAAATGTGACAATGATCAGTTAAAGCAAAATTAAACCAAGAATAAAATGATTATCTGGTTTTATTTGTATTAGTCGGTCAATATTTGGTTGAAAAAACATTTGCTTCTGGTACACCAAAACTTCCCATGGAGGGAAAATGATGGGATTTTCCTCTACTTTATGCCAGGAAGGAAGACTTAAATATGCATGAGTAAGTATAAGTCAATTTAAAAACATCAACAAAGTTCTAAACAAAATTTCTGTTGTAGTTTTTGTTAGAAAGCGTCGACTTTAGGGACACAGTGAAATCTAGTGAGTCTGTCATGTGTCCATGACGATGATGGAGGGAGGAGCAGAGTTCTGCTCCAGCAGAACAACAGCAGAAAGTGATGGTTGCACAGTAAGAACTGTCATCTCGCTGCATCTCTGCTGCTGCATCACACATCGGTAATCTATGGAGCCAAGACTCACTTGGCCACAAATTGATTGCCTTGCTAAAAGTGAAAAGACCACCAGGGATTTGAATAAGCATATTTTACACTAACAAGAACATTTCACCATCAAACGCTCAATTCTCCAATTCACCTTACATTGCATTTTGCTCATGTGACCATATCAACAACACACACACACACACACGCACTATATGTGTAAGCATGTTGAGTAGAAAACAAACAAACCTGAAATTCTTTGAATTTATAGACAAGTTAGATCAGGGGTGGGCAATCCTGGTCCTCAAGGGCCGCTATCCAGCAGGTTTTAGTTGCTTCTCTGCTTAACCACACCTGGTTTGAATCTGCTGGTGATTAACAGGCTCCTGCAGAGTCTGGTGAGCTGCCTAGCAGGCGATTCATCCAGGAATCAGGTGTGTTGGAGAAAATAAATAACTGAAACATGCTGGATAGCGGCCCTCGAGGACTAGGATTGCCCACCCCGGTTCTAGGGGAAGGGAAACTACAAAAACCTGTAGGAAAACACACTAAAGAGACTAATAAAAGGAGAAGCTGAACCTATAAAAAACTGCAGAGGGGTGACTGGGGAAGACTGAAGGAACACAGGACCTGGGAGGGATGATCTAGAGGGCTGCAAAACAGGAGACACATAAAAGAGACGCAGACAAGGACACATGTAGGCGCTAGGAGACACAAAAGGAGAACCTAGAGAGGGATGGAGAACACAAGGAGACACATGAGGGGAGACGCAGACCATGACAACGTGAGAATCCAATGGGAGAGCTGGGTCAAAGGTCACACCAAGATTCCTGACAGAAGGTTTGGTGTGAGAAGCAAGCTGACCAAGAGAGTCTCTGACTTTGGGAACCAGCTTGTCTGGGGCACAGATGAGGCTCTCAGTCTTATCTTCATTCAGCTGAAGAAAGCTCCCAGCCATCCAGGTTTTGATGGAGTCTAAGCAGGTGTGTAACAGCTGCAGCTTAGACATTTTAAAGGAGATGTACAGTTAAATGTCATTTACATAAAGATGGTAGGAGATTCATTTAAAAGAGCTCAGGATGTGCTGCAGAGGAAGCAGATAGAGGAGGAAGAGTAGAGGCCCCAGCACAGAGCCTTGTGGGACACCATGACTGAGGACAGTGGTGGAGGACCTAAACTTGAAGACGGTCATGGAGAAGGAATGCTCAGACAGATAAAAGGAGAACTACTAGAGTGCAATTCCTGATTGGGCTAATCAGTGTTTCAGAATATTAAGTCGATGGTGTCAAAGGCTGCAATCAGAACCAGCAGCATGAGAACAAAACTCTCTCCTGCACTGCAGTGAGTGAGTTTGAGCTGAGTGTGAAACAACTGAGAAAAAGAATAACACATCTAGATATGGTGATGGGCCTCAACTTAAAAACAGTAGATCACCAATTCTTTGTTGGGTAAATTCACGGACCCAGAAGGATGAGTCATGCATTTCTATTATCTTGTAAGTAGGTTGGTAGGGGAATTGGCGCAGCTTCAGCACATGTCACGCTGAGGCCAACCAAAAACTAACATCTCTTACAGAGGTGTTTGGAACATGTCCCACTGGGAGGAGACCACAGGCCAGTCTCAGGATTTTAGGCTGGTATTTTATCTTACATGGGTGCACAGTGGAGCAGTGGTTAGCAAAGTTGCCTTGCAGCAAGAAGATCCTGGCTTCGTCATGACCTGGGAACTTTCTGCATGGAGTTTGCATGTTCTCCCTGTGCATCCGTGGGTTCTCTCCGGCTTCCTCCCACAGTACAAAAACATGACTGTCTGGTTAATTGGTCTAATTGTCCTTAGGTGTGAGTGTGTGCTTGTTTGTTTGTCTTGTGTGTCTCTATGTTGCCCTGTGATGGACTGGCAATTTGTCCAGTTGTACCCCGCCTGTTTGCCAGAAGACTGCTGGAGATAGGCACCAGCCTCCCACAACTCTGTGTGGATAAACGGGCATAGAAAATGGAAGGATGGATGGATGGATGGATGGATGGATGGATGGATCGATCAATTGACCGATGGAGGGACAGATGGATGGATGGATTAATTAAAGTGTAGTTGGATGGGTGAATAGATGGGTGGGTGGGTGGATGAATGGACATTTAAAGCTAATCCATTGACATTTAAATCAGCTTTACAAGTTGGACAAAGTGAATGAATGTCTTCACACACACTCCAGCTCCTCTTAGCAGGACTGACAGTTTTTTGAGCTGCAGATGAAAGGAAGCATCTTTGGTGCTGGAAAGTGATGAACAACCTCTCAGCCAAGGATGATGGGTAGAGAATGAACAGTTGTACTAGAGTCTGCCCAGAGTCTAATCACAAGCAGCAGCCAAACACATGTCACACGAGTCAATATTTAATTTACTAAGTACACATCTCTACTCCTCAGAGCCCCATTGGAGCATTTATTTATCAGAAAACCGTTTAATAACTTTGCATTAGGATGTTTTTTTCTGCAGGGCTGCTCAGCCACAACATTGCAACCACAGACAGTTAAAGTTGTGTTTAAAAAAACTAAAGACACCAACTATGTTCCGTTTCGGGCTCATGCTAACAAATTCAACCATTTTTTTCCAACCACTGATACTCAGAGACCCCACCCAGCCACCCAGGGCCTGAAGCATATAGCTGCAGTCTCTTTCCGGACATGTCAGGAAAAGCCCCAGATGTTCATTGTTCATGCTCGGGCAACTACATTTATCAGCATGAGGGAGGAGCCTACACAATAAGACAGTAAAGCTCCTAATGTTGCAGCTTATCAGTGAGCATTCCTGGCCTCACGGCCTATGGCTTCATCACCTCTCCGGGTTTTGGAATGAGGATGGAAACGTTGGGACACTCAGATCTCCATGGGAAGCTAGATAATTAGGTTCCTTTGTGTATTTTTTCTAATTTGATCTTTTTCCCTTTTCCCCAACTTGCCAATCAATCAATCAATCAAAGCTTTATTTATAAAGCGCCTTCCGCAACCCTGTCAGGAAGCCCAAAGCGCTGAACATGGTTCAGTTGAAGGTAAATATATTGAATAAAAAAAAAAAAAGCAATTCAAATTACAAAATAGGTGAAACATTCTGGAACAGGTCAAATGTGTAAAACAATGGATTGAGTGAACCAATGAAAACTGTGAAATAAATTCAACATAAAAGAGGGCCAAAATCAAACATGCCAGCATATATTTGACCACTCTTACAATTGATTATGGGATTGCAGGCATATGAATTAGCATACCCAAGCTGGATGCCCATTTCTCCATGCCAATGGTGCCTTTTAACACATTTAAGTGAGAGGTAAAAAGAAACATGTATTTTTGAAAGTAGGGCTGATTAGTTTTAGACACAATTAGAAATTATAAGCATGATTGTTTAAGTTTTTATTTATTTGTAAAAACAAATGTCACTTTTAGACACTGACTAAAGCTGAGACCGTTTTTAATTACATTTGCTTCCTACTTTTACTTTTCCTCCTGTTAACAGCACTACGGACCAGGCCGTCAGCCACCAACACTTATCTAAACACACGTGTGAGCCCGCAGCAGCACAGGAGGGGGACATTTCCCACCTCCTGTGCTGCGTCTGTAGATGGGAGCTAGCTGAGAACATGTTGTGGCTCCTAAATCATACACCTCACTGGTACATCATCAAGTCATTCTCCTCATTTACACACACACACACACACACACACACACACACACACACACACACACACACACACACACACACACACACACACACAATTACATAATAATAACAATGTAAATCAAGCTGAAAAAGAATTAAACTTATTCTAGTTTGCTGCTGATTATTTTCAAAATTGTCCAATGACCTGATTAAATAATGGTATCAGCAAGTGCATGCTGCCACTTTATTGAGGTGGAGGAGGTTCTGCGTCTCAATGATCCTAGTTGCCATAGTTTTCAATCCCCTGATTGAGTCACTCGAGGCTCCTGGGTAAGGGATCAGATAAAACCCTTATAATGAATAATACTAAAAGAAACCATGCTCCTTTGTCCGGATGTGGGTTGTTGGAGATCCCCTCAAGAGCCCGGGTTGGAGGCGGGGCATGCTGGTGAACGCCTAGTGGCAGGGAATTCACCCGTGGGACCCGGTCCGACGCAGCACAGAGAGGAGACATGGGGCCCCCTCATCGTGAGCTCACCACTCGTGGTAGTGGCTAAAGAGGTTGGGTGACATGGGAGATGTGTGATGATAAAATCAAACATCTCCCATCTTCATCCTTTTCTTGAGCCAGAATGTGCTAAAATGACCCTTTAGTGGGTTAATGAGAAGTCTCTCAGACTCTACCGCCCCCTGTGGCCAGAATATTCCACTTGCAACTTGAGAGGTTCCAGTCCAGTCTGTTGAGACTTTCTAGCATGTTTTAGATAATGCACACAGCTGATGTGTGTGATTTAGTGATGAATCACTCCTGTAG